AAATGGTACGAGAGTCTGAGAACCACTGGTTTAGCCACATCGGCAATTATGCGGTGAACAAAATATTAAGTGGTTGCACTTAGGGCATAACTTAGAACTTCATATGACCGCATTAGGATAATGGTCAGCTAAAAGTAACGACCACAATAAGGACTCACCTAAACTTAGAACAAGGGTGGATGATCCAATGCCCTGCAGCCCTCTGGCGGATTCTTTCTTTCATTAAAGCCTTTTTACTTCCAAACAGTTTCATGGCTAGCTTATTATCAGACGGATGGAATAAGGACTCGAGCTGGATCTTCATAAATGAGGACTTGGCATCGGTGAGAAACGGACCCACCTCTTCTTTGGGAGTCCCGTAAAGACTGACGTCATCTTTTTCCCCTGTCCCATCTCGTGCGGTCGAGTTGGAAACGTGACGGCTGTCTTTGTAGTTCATTTCTGAGCTAATGTAGTCGCTGACGAGACCATCTTCGTCAACAGCCGTCACGAGAGAGTCCGTGCAAGTGTTGACGTTGTCGATACTGATCTTGATAGAATCCTCTTTCTGGAGACTTCGAGGAGAACGGATCTCTTCCTCAGATGGTGTTCCATGACTAACACGGCCATTCGCCAGCCGTAGGCTCGGCACACGCTCGCCCCTCCGTGCCTTGATGCTGGCGTTCGAGTCCATACCAGCAACTCCGGAGCCCCTGTAGGAAGAAGATCTCAAGAATTGTATTCTCAGCAAGCATAATTAATTATAATACCTAATACTTGAATACCTTATTTATATTTAAAACTGTTCAACACAACTCATGACGAATTTGTTTGTTGTTAAGCGCAAAGCTACACAATGGACTATCTGTACTCTGGCCACTAGATGTACCAAGTTAACACTAGCATCACTAGATGTACCAAGTTAACACTAACATCACAAGATGTACCAAGTTAACACTAACATCACTAGATGTACCAAAGTTAACACTAACATCACTAGATGTACCAAAGTTAACACTAGCATCACTAGATGTACCAAGTTAACACTAACATCACTAGATGTACCAAGTTAACACACTAGATGTACCAAGTTAACACTAGCATCACTAGAAGTACCAAGTTAACACCAGCGTTACTAGATGTACCAAGTTAACACTAACGTTACTAGATGTACCAAGTTAACACTAACGTCACTAGATGTACCAAGTTAACACTAACGTTACTAGATGTACCAAGTTAACACTAACATCACTAGATGTACCAAGTTAACACCAGCGTTACTAGATGTACCAAGTTAACACTAACATCACTAGATGTACCAAGTTAACACTAACATCACTAGATGTACCAAGTTAACACTAGCATCACTAGATGTACCAAGTTAACACTAGCATCACTAGATGTACCAAGTTAACACTAACATCACTAGATGTACCAAGTTAACACT